CCTGCCCCTATCCCTGCAGGAGACGGGACCTCCATTTATTCGGCCCTATCCGAGAAGACTAGAATATCTAACCATTTCTTGATGTTATAGAAAGGTAGCATATTCTTCTCAATTATTTCAAGACCCAGAGTGTTGGTCTGGCTGGGGCTCCAACCCTCGACCTCCCGCACAACAGTCCAGTGCTCTATCCATTGAGCTAACTGGAGTGTTTAATTGAATTCACTTACACTGTAACTTCTGTTATTAACATAATTGATTTTCATTTATTTACTGTTCCAAATAAATGAAGGATGGGCAATCAATCAGTCCCTTAATTTAGGAGGCAAGGAGTTAATCAGTGATCTTGTCAATGATTATTTTTTACCTAAAGGGGGTAAGTTTCTAATTTAAAGAAACTATGGTGCTATATTAAAGGCAGGGGGGTATACAACATAATTTAGTCATATCAGTTGAGTTGATCAAGTAAATTGGCCACTGTAAAGAGTTACTGCAATGGAACTCTCAAGTGTTTGCCCTTTGTTAGAAGGACAAAGGACAAACACTTGAAACAACTTTAAAAACTATCTACAGTGGCCAATTTACATTACCAACTCAGCTGATAAAACGAAGTTTTTTTTTTCAGACTAGTTTTGAGAATTTAGTAGCACACTCACAACAGTACCTAACCCTAACCTCTGTTTATTTAATTATTTACTAGAAATCTAACATTTCTCTCACCGGTTATTGTCAAAAAATGCCACCTCTTGATGCAAGATAGAATTAAACAGCTGAATATAAAGAGTAATATAAGAATTTTAGGTTAAAAAGGATGATAAAATATAGGCATTTTGATACCTATGTGCAAAGTGGTTGACATAGATAGAAAAGTTAAAATCCAACCAACTTTAGATTGGTTAATCATTCAGCAGTTGTGTGATGTTCTCAGTTGTTAGAAGAAATACTCTTGCCTGCTTTCTTATCCGAGCCACTAGCCGCTGACCAGCGAGAGTGAAGAGCCAAGCTCTTACCAAAGCAGCTAATGCACCTCCAAGGTAGACAAGGGCAAGGATTACAATGGTCTCATTCAAATGCTCTGTGATGAAAAAGAAATTCATCATCTGTGATGAAAAGGAATTCATCCCATTGACAAGCCTGCTATAACATTGTTATGCTCCCAGCCACAAGGCTCCTTCACTGAGTAACCTCCCAGTAACCTCCCAGTAACCTCAGAGTAACAAATGCAGCTATCTAAACTTTAGGATTGCAACTGTTTTGTTTGTCAGCTTATTTTGTTTCCCATCTAACTGGTACCAACCCTCCTTATTCCCTCTCCCTAGAGACAAATTACCTCATGCTGCATGAACGTAGAAAAATCTTCAATAATCTCCTATTCTGAACAAGTTTTATAACAGTTTTCCTCAAATGTAAACTGCATTATTCATCAAATATTCAATTACCAAGGTCACCATTTACTTACTCATGCCTTTCTCCGTTGCTGCCTGAATCACTTTACCAAAAAAGAAAGGAGCTGCAATCTGTGCCCCACTGGATGCCAACAGAGCCAGAGATGCCATTAATAGTAAGAGAAGCTCCTACACATCATCAATTGAATTTTATTTTGGAGAGCAAAAAGGGATTAAGCTTGTAAAAATGAAAATTTCCAACATCATACTTTTTATTACCTTCAATATTACAAAAAAAAATTCCGATGAACAACTTGCATTCATTTGCATTCATATCCTCTTGTTTTTTTACTTCCCTTTCAATATATTTAATTGGGTTAGAATTGATGATAATCTTACTCAACAAGACTAGTTTCATCACCTTATTACTACCAAAGACAGTAACTTTAACATGTTACACAAAGTCAATGATCAATTTCTTTAAAGGACCTGCAAAATATGTTTCTTAGATGAATACATTAAATGTAATGTTTAAAAAACACTTACTGGTTTGGCCAGAGTCATCAACCTTCCTAAATTGACCTTTGGCTTCCTTTTCGCTTCAGTATCGTTAGGAGTGTGAAGAATTCGCATCAGTTTCAGTCGTCTCATAGCAACAAAACTACTAAGTGCAAACACAGTTTCCAAGAAGGAAAATGCAACAGAACTTATGACCAAGGCAAAGTAAGTTGCGTGGAGTTTGTGCTTTTCCTGTGATTCCTCTTTATAAATAAGAACACCTTTAGTTACACTGTAAGCAAGTGACCCAAGACTCAAAATTATTGCAAGAAAATGGCACCAGCATTTCCTTAATGCAAGTCTTCTCTCATAGGGATAATCAATCTGCTTCGTAGAAAAATTTTCTAACCAGTGATAAGAAAAGAAGAGAATGCTGCACTTCACAAATGCTATTGCTGCTAAGTCAAACACAGAGTCTTTAATCTTGAAATGCATCACATTTTTCTCTAAGTAACCACTGTCTCCACCACAAAGCCAGAGTGCAACAGAGGACACCAAGTCAGTAAATAACAAAACCTGAACCAGGATTGTAAAACGACATGTTGGTAATGTGTAATATCCAGTCTTCACGACACTTTCTTCTCCATCAGATTGGGTCACATGTTGACCAGTGGACTCCTGTATATGTGCATGATGTTTACTTCCAGAATTTCTATGCTCCATCTTGATATAACATCTGACTTTATATAAGAAAACAGAAATAAAATGGAAAAGACCCTGATAAATTGAATATTATTTAAAGTACTAAAGAGCATGACAGCTGAGTGAAAGTATGACATTACAGCTAAGTGAATGGATAGTGGTAAGATCTCCAAAAATCTACAACAAAAGGCACCAATCGTTCCCACACTTGATACAGTTTGAAAATTAATAATGCAAAAACTGCTCAGGATAATGTTTACAACAGGTAATTCTAGTCAACGTAGCAATAAATATTATATCTGACAGTTCATCCATTTATCAGTTTCCGATTGGCTAATAATTGATCAGTATTATGCAGGGAAAGGAAACTATTACCGTGCTACAATGTACATCAGCTATCTGTTCATCATTACCTAAGAAAATTTCTTTTTCCTTAATCCAGAATAGAACTAAGTCCCTATTTACAAGTTATGAGCTGAACTTGGACCTGGATGGGGTTCTAGATCGATAAGTTACGTAAGAAATAGCTAAATATGTACATAACAAAAGTACCAAGCAAGTCATAATGTTAAGACAGTATAGTATGTTTTAAAGATAACGTCCAGGTCTGCGTCTGAAGAACTCGATAACTATTGAAGGTTTGGCTTAAGATAAAATTATGGAAGGTAAGTTACCAGTGTACCCTTGACAAATATTGAAGCATAATCAAGTGCATAATGCATCTACCAAGCTACTCGCCCATTGAGCAAACAGCTTATCTTTTAAAAGACCACGCATTCGGATAAATACTGTAACATCGATCAGTATATTGGAAAGCAAAACTTTCTTTCGTACATGCATAGCAGTTACAGTGCAAGGACCAACAAAGCCGGGTGGAAATCATACATACTACAAACAATTGTAGTTCATGCTCACTAAGTCCAGTAACACATGCAAAGTCACTTACTTGTAAAACGCACGAAACAAAACTTGCTCCTGGCACAGCACAACAGTCTTAGCTTGCCAAACGCTGCACTAAGTTTTCCCGATGTCAGCAAATTTTGGAATTGTTGGCTTATTCATGTAAAAGTGACGTCTACTGTATCTGAAAATCTGCTGAATAATCAATAAAAGTGGAACGGTAACCGTGCATAAATTAATGCAAACAATCATAGCACAAGTGCATCGCCTTGATGAGAGGGGAATGGAGACGAAGCGCCAAACACTTTCTTTTACCTGTTCCCTCGCGCCTCGTAGCTTCTTTGGTACCAAAATAAGTTAGTCCATCATCAAGATTATCGTTTTTAAATCATCTACAGAAATAACAACAAGCAATATCTGCAATTGTATTTCTGCATATATTTATCTGTTAACCTGATCTAAGGCTGGTGTTACGACTAAGTCGTAATTTGAGTATAAATTTATTATAAGTTGTCATACTATGGTAGCCTTGGAACCACGACGGCGACAACAACGAAAACGTGGCAAAAAAAAAAAAAAAATCAAACAAAAAACAAACAAAAAGATCTATGGGGTGGAACAATGGCTCAACAAGTGCTTTTTGAAACTTGAACCTTTCTTAGCCGTCCTGAAAATCAACAACGCTAAATCACCAAATATTTGTGTAGTGAACGGAAACCCCGTCCGCAAATTAAATTAAATTTTCCATACTCAACGCTGACTAAAAATACAAATTAATTTTCTAAACGACATCTTTATCGGTGTTTTCGTCCTGACTGCTCGACATCCCTAATATTTCAACTTGACTCAGAGAAAAGTTCTCAATTCAATACAGAGTGCAAGGATGGCAGGGTAAAAACAATATAAGCATTCATATCACTGCAAATTTGGGAATATCATTCCCCAAGTGGAGATTGGTGTCAAATGTTAACATAAAACGTGGAGAGAAAAATTGGTTCAGCTTACTCCTCTAAATCCTTGAACTTAGCAAAAATTTACTATTTGTACCTGTAGATTTTTGCTTAACACTTGAAATATTCCCTGGGAAATCTTAAAGGGTTTAAAGTTAAAGGAAGTAATTTAGGTATGGTCATAGTGTCTCCAGTTAACTTATATTAAGCTTAAGTGTATTGACACTAGAATAAAGTTTAATATTAATTATTAAATATTATCAGTGATGGATCTAGGGCACGTGGGCCCAGGCTCCCCCCTAATTTTGGGTAAAAAAATAAATAAACATTGGAGGGAAGAAAGCCAGCAGGTGAACACACACAAACAAAAATGCCTCACCCCCCCCTCCCCCCACCCTTGGCTCAAGGTCTGTATCTGCCACTGACTATTCTCACTTTTACAGTCACTGTTAAAACAATGTAAGACACTGAAACTTAATTTTTCTAAACAGAAATTCTTTATTGAAAAAAAGCCTACATCTTTACAAGGTTTACAAAAATGAAAAATGGTGCAAAAGGGGCTACATGAAAAAAAAAAAAGGGTTCAGAAGACCACAGAACTGTCATTATACCGAACTTCAAAAGCCTCTAAACTGTACTTCTACCTCTGATACATGAGATTATCTAAACTATAATCACACACACATGCACACACACACACACACACACACACACACACACACACACACATTCACTTACTCCTGCAAAAATTGAAAAAAGCCTGGAGCAACAAAGTATAAAAATATCTTAAACATATACAATATGTTGCTCTGTCCACAAGTCATTACTCATTGATTTAACAATTACTGCCTGATTTTTAATGACTTTCCAGATTATTGTGCAAGTCTTTTTTCTATGGTTGAAAATTCTCCTTCTTTAAGCCTTATTATTGTAGGACTACCCAGACAAATTAATTTTAGTTGATATTTCTGGTACACACTTGACAGACCTATTTATTTTGAGATTTCAAGAAAATCGTTAATTATTTAAATAACGCATTGCTTTTAAAATTACAGCTTTTAGCTGACTATTGTGTATCAGGCATGTCCTATTCACCAGGAAAGCTGCCCTGGGCAGTATTTGGCTATCAATTCCTCATAGTATGGCGTTACAGCCTCCACATCTGGTACAGCATCAGACTTTGAGTACAGGTCAAATTTGCTACAAAATAATGTGAAACAACAAAGTTAGTCGGAAATGCAAATTCTGTTGAATCCAAATATATTGAACCCCTATATCATGAAGAACTTAATATTGCAGCTTGGAAATGTGTATTCTACTGAAGCTAAATATAATGAGCCCCTAGCTTGTGAAAAACTTATTGCAAGTGAGACATACTCTTACAGTTAATGTTCACACAAAAAGAGAAATGGGAAATTTGAGTGAATAACTACATTATTAACCCATGGGTGATAACTGAACTTTCACCCTTCATAGAACATGTGCCTGTTGATTGATGCCTAAAAGACAGCTCTTGCAGGGTGGCATAATGAGAACAAAATGCTATCCTGAAAAGTGCGCTCTATTCGTCATTGGGATGAATAAGGACAAAGTTCTTCTAGTGCCTTGAGCTGTCACATAAATGTTGGGCTGGACTGGGCTGGACTGTATACTAAGTGACAGGAAATAAAAGCATCTGTGGTTTAAAAACACTAACAATCACCATCAAACTGATCAATACTCACTTGAATTCTTTCACCCATTTTAACATTTCCCTATCTTCCTCATTACAAAGGTAATTATAATCTCCATTGCAATGCCAAGGATAGAATGAATGATACCTTATCATATACAGTCCCTGCAAAGAACATGTGTATACAGTAGTATCAAGCTATTTATAAATTACGACATTTTCCTTACTGTGCAACTTTCAAAAAGGACAAAAATTAAAAACATAATAATTATGGTGTATTCAAAGCATCCCCATTCAATAAAAAAGGCTTTTCACCAATAAACATTTAACAAATCTAAAATGATAATATCTACTTATAAGTACATGTAAATATAATATTAATAATTTAGAAATAGACTTAATAACAATTTTTAACTCTTATTTTGGGACAAATCAGCAACAAAATTTCCCCTAAATTCTTAACTTTTGTAAAATGCCTTGGTGCTATACAGATTATTGTAACTGAATTTATCTGCCTTGTGTTGGAGTCACATGATTTGTTTGGTACATCATCTTTGTCACAAGGTTGTCATAAACCAACCTTTTTACCTTCAAGATCTTAAAGTAAACTCTCTTTTCTGTCTGTCATACATTTTATATAATTTCAGCCTGAGATTTTGTAGGGTGAACATGTTTTGTGCCTGTGAGTGAGAGGATTAAGATGAACATGTGAAAATCATAGGAAAATCATCCTATTTTTTTTGGGGGGGGGTTTCATGAAGAAGCAATCATTGAGTGTCCTGCTGCATTTGTTTACCCTCTAACCTCTTTAGGAAGCTTGCAGTTGTTTCCAGTTAAGACCTGGTACATGTACTCTACAAAGGATAAAAAATCAACACGGTGAGGAGCTGCTCATACCTTAGGCATGATTTTGTTATTTGTACCACTTGAGTAATAGACTGAGGTAGAAACCTTGGTCAACTGTTACCCTTGACTGGCCTAAAATCAGTGTCTGCTAATCTCAGAGTGAAAAAAAATAATAATAATAATAGAGAATCCATACCATCATGTCCCCAAGACATTGTGATGTTGTCCAGACCACAGTTTGGTTCATAAATACCATATTTTGAGCTGAAAAATATGCAACCACCATAAAATGAACAGTAGATAAGTGAAAAGACAAAGGATATATACATCTAAAGAAAATATTACTAAGCATTATGTATTGTCTTGGTCACTAAAATGCATGATATGAGCCATTTCACGAGACTGTATATCTTACATACCTATACTCTGCAACTTTTGTATCTGGATTGTTTGTGAATGTCTCAGGGAAGACTATGTTTTCTGAAAATTTGCAGCCAAGAGGAAAAGTATCTCCAACAACACAGTACTGAGGCTCTCCCCATAAGGCCATAACTTTTCCCAGGTCATGTAGAAGGCCAATCAAGTGAAACCAGTCCTTGTCTGGATGGGCAACACGGATACGCTCTGCAGTTTGAAAGGCATGTACTGAATTGGGTAAGTCTGTGTCTGGGTCACTTTCATCCACCAAAGCATCCAACATGTGCACAGCTTCCATGATTGTCATTTTAAACTTGTCTAGACAACACCAACTCTCTTTCTAAAATGAAAAGAATATTCATCTATAACTCTCTGATTGGAACTATAACCATGCTTCCATTGATACTGTGGCACGTTTCATAGGCAGAAAACCAACAGATAGTCAGTGTCTCTATCTTTAGAAAGGAAGGAGTGCCTAAGCAAGCCAGCAATAATTGTTTCAAACTTGTACAAAGTGCTTCAAGCCCCTATGCTGTAATCTGAACAGTGCTAGCAACATATCCTAAAGGCAAAATAATTACAATTAAGACATTACAATTATTTGGAAAAATAAATAACCTTTTCCTTGACAAAATCCATGGTTTGATTTTCATGCATCATTCTGTATGTCAAATGAACTTTGTCAGTTTGAAGGTTGACATCATAATTGCGAAAATCTTTCACTGTCTTATCAGTCCTGGATATGATGAACTCATTATATTCACTGTACTCCTCTTCAGGTCTATAGATCTGTGAAGGATCCAATAGTACCACCTAAAAAGGGACATTGGATATTACACGTATCCAATGGGACATAGTCAATTAGTTAATTTACAAGGGTGTGCATTAATGTTATCAGGTACACTCTTTTTAATATAAGAACTGAGGCTGAAAGTTCTTATTTTTTCATGATTTAAGCCTGAAAATACTCTTAACAGGTTCTTAAAGTTGTATGGTAATTAATCATTTAGGATGTGACAAGACTAAGTTTGACTTCAAATTGAGTTGTTCTTCTGTTAAATTTGAAACATTTCTCCAGGTACTTCTGTTGATTATCCTGTTAGACTACAGTTTTACATTTTGTTTACCTTCCCTCATTTTTCTCAAATGACTTTTAGACATGGTAGTTCTTAAAATCTCAGCCTGAACGTTCTCATAAAAAAGGTTCTTATAAAAAAAGAGAGAGTGTATATCAAAGGGTTTGGGAAGGAAAGTCTTCAGCAAACATTAAGTTGCAACAGCAATGAAAAATGTTGCAAATTATAACAACCCTCGTAAATTAATTTTGAGACAGGCACAGAATCCTCTAATAGACTTTTGTGTCTGAATTATTCCTTGAGGATATAAAATTTAGTCTTGGGCAGTAAATGGCTCGAACTCTCTGGTTAAATATGTTCCTCTGTTGTCCGATCACTCGGGAACGATGACACGACACAATCAACTTTTTCCTCGGATTATTCTCAACCCGCCAAATGTTTCTCGTTTAACCTCAGTTTATGAAACCTTTATTTTTCACCCGATACAATCCAGTTCACACAATGGCTTGACATGTTGACAAGTTGACCTTGACAAGTTCCGTTTGGACACCACTCTCCTCTCGATGTACAAATCTCTCTCTCTCTCTCTCTCTCTCTCTCTCTTCTTTTTCGTTTGTAGGCGGTGTAACGTTCTTGTAACAAACATCAACAAAGGGAAAGGGGGACATGTTTCAAGAATTATGGCAACGATTAGTTGGGATTAAAAACAGAGATGAAGTCAGTAATATCTGGCCCGTTAGTTGTAAAGCTATGAAGTTTGATGGGTAGCTGCCTACTTTCTTGCGCTACAGCAAATGGTTACTTTCTCTCGAGTGTTGAGAAATTATTGCCAAATTGATTGTCCACTATGTAGACGGTGATGGGCTGCAAATAACGCCACAAAGTGGCCTCCGACCGGCATGCTAATACAAGGATTGAACACAACGAATTCAAACGATCGAGAGATAGGAGGAAAAAAAAAAGAAATTGTACAATTTTAAAAGTCTGTTACTTACGGATTCTGCTGGTTTTGGACGCATATTCTTCGCTGGTTAATATCTCGATACCAACAATCGATCGATCTCTTTTAATGACGCACTTTCTATAATAACTTATGACAATGCCCCCTTCTTTTTCTGCGTTACTTCTATTTTATTGGATATTGTGATAATACCGGTGAAACCGGTTCTGCACTTTGGTTTCTTTGCAAAGCAACACGAAGTGAATTCCCCTTAAAACACAGATTATCCAAGCAATGTATTCCGGGACTGATAGCTATTTTGAAGTTCAGGTAATCAAGGAATGGATGTCAGGCCAAGTCGCTGTTCTTAACACGCGTTCGCGGGGTGTAATGCAATCCTAATTAGATCGCGTGACATCGCAAACCCGATTTTCTTACCGGTTTTCGCACATTGTGACTGCTGCAGTCATAGGCGGGCCAAGCTCACTACTAGAAAAGCGGACGTGACTCTTACGGTGAGTGTTGCACAACGTTTTATATTTATAAAGGTTTGTATGAGATGTTATCAGTTTGCCTTAAAAGAGAGAAAAAATGTCTTGTTTCGAAATAAAATGGACTTACGTTATTGCCTTGTTGTTTTCTTTGTCGATTACCAGCGTCTCAGGCCATTTTGAAGCGTTTTCGGCGAGTTAGCGCTATTTTGGTGTTCAACTGCTAAAATTTATTTTACCCTAGAGACGCTGGTAATCAACAAAGAAAACAACTAGGCAATAACGTAAGTCCATTTTATTTCAAAACAAGACATTTTTTTCTCTCTTTTAAGGCAAACCGATAACATCCCGTACAAATCTTTATAACAATAAAATGTTGCGTAACACTGTAAGAGTCACGTCCGCTTTTCTAGTAGCGAGCTTGGGCTGCCTGTGCTGCAGTGCGTTTTACATCATTCCTTTCACGGGGGAGGAGAGAGTGTGGCTTTTTTTTTTTATCTTATCACCCGCGCGTTCATTAACAGTACCCCTTTGTTGTTTCTGGGCGTTCCCACTCAGACATAAGCGACATAACAGCGTTATGTTCATGCTTATGATTATGATTATGATCATTATGTCGCTAGTGGGAACTTAGGCTAGGAACTAGGCTTAACCGTTTCCATCGTCCGGCTCTTCTGGGATGAATAAAGGCTGATAGTTTCTAAAGAAACTGATTGGGGCTGCGTCGGTGGGGGTAACAAAGTTGAAATGGTAAATTGGCCACCTTTACGATTATAAAAACTGACGTTTCGAGGGTTAGCCCTTCGCCATTCGCTCCGACGAAGGGCTAACGCTCGAAACGTCAGCTTTTATAATCGTAACGGTGGCCAATTTACCATTTCAACTTTGTTGATATATTCAAATTATTTCTTCTGGGATGAGTCACTTTTACCGGGCTCAATGAGCCTAAAAAATCCCCTCGGCAGACTAGTTTCGTCATTAACTTTTTTACGAAAAGAATAAAATTTAATGAGACTGTCGCCAACCCAGTAAGCATCTTCATCCCGATGTTCTTTCAGTAGTGAATCACACTGCTCACTTAAGCAAAAACAGCCGCGGTGTAGACATACAGATACCTATTGCATCTAAATGTTCAAATTTAGGATCTCAATTTAAGGTTACGCTGTGGAGTTGTCATATGCGGATAGACCCTGAAATTCTTTATCCTTCCTCTCTCAATCTTCCTTATTTATGTTATTTTTTTTTCTTTGACCTGTTTGATTTGTAACATGAAGATGTTTCATGCTACAATTCTTGTCCAAGAGTCTTTTCGTCTAAAGTCTTAGGTCCATTCGTCCAATATCAAGTCTTTTCGTCAAAGTTACAACATTATTTTAAATGATAGTTGTTTCGTTTAGTAAATAGGCGTTGCCTTTGATGGCAGATATATTTTAATTAACATAACTCGTGATTGACATTAATTCCTTACAATGATTTATAAGTGTTAGCTTGTCGTGTTTTAAACCAGTTTTTTCATAAGAATCAGTAAGAGAGAGAAGTCGGTTTTTATATCTGTTCGCTTACCTGAATCCGCTAACCTGAAGTGAGAAACCTGTTTTTACGACCCGCCACAGAAGTAAGTTTCCAATCATGTTTTTCTTGAATTTTGCTACGAGGCTAAGACTTAATTTGTGTTTACTGATTTCCAATTACAAATGTATTTTTCTTAGATCAAATAATTACTAAAGCTTGGAATATTATACGGTTTGTGGCAGTCATTAAGCTGAAAGGCGAGCTGCAGCACGAAACAGTAGTCCAACATGATAAAGAAATAAAACTAGGCCAAAAAATAACCCCAAATAAGCATTTTCTCTGTGTATCTCTTGGTGGTTTGCAGCCAATCTCTAGAGACACAGGTAATAATGGTGAAAGGAACAAATGCTGGTGGACGAACAAAAGGAGCCAATGAGATATCTATTGTTTACGTCCACCAACATGGCGGCAATGACGTAACATGCAAACTACCTGAAATCACGACGTTTAATTTGTAAACGAAGATTGGTAACTAAAGCTATCGGAACCAAAATGGCAACGGCTCGCACTAACAAGTTCTTTATATAGCCTTATCTAACCTTATAAAAGTTATTTATTTGCTTCGAGAAAAGACTTGACAATTAGACGAATATACGATGAAAAAACTTTTGGACAAAAAGACCGTAATTCAATTAACTCCAGAAGTCAGGGTCAACCTCCGTGTAAAAACCTGACGAGGTTTTCTTTGTTTGATGAGGTATTGTTTTGCTCTACGCTATTGTTTATGTTTTGTTGTCTTTGTTTTACGTCACTCGTGAGCTTCACAGGTTTTTACACCGATGATGAGCCAGAAATCAGACTGAAAAGCAAAGTTAATGGAACTAGCTCCCTCAGGACCACTATTTTCCTCGGATCCTGAGTACAGCTCGCATCGCAGACAGTTGTAACTGCGATACAGACCATATATACAGACTTTACGGTATAACGGGGATATTGTGGCATGTGCGGCTGCAATGCAGGCTGCCTGACATGAGTACAGCGTGTCGAACTGAGAGGCACTCCTCCAAATTAATATCCCACTTAGCTGGGATAAGCCTGCCGGTTAGCTCAATGGATAGAGCGCTGGACTGTTGTGCGGGAGGTCGAGGGTTCGAGCCCCGGCCGGACCAACACTCAGGGTCTTAAAATAATTGAGAAGAATATGCTACCTTTCTATAACATCAAGAAA